AAACTACACCATCAGCGCCAATACCTATTTCCATATAAACGTGCACAACCGTGGGGAAGGGAATCTCTACCCCGAGTTGGTACTGGACCGAGTGCTGGACCGCGAGGAGCTGCCTGAGCTCAGTTTAACCCTCACCGCCCTGGACGGCGGCTCTCCGCCGCGGTCCGGGACCGCCCTGGTGCGGATCCTAGTCGTGGACATAAATGACAACGCCCCTGCGTTTGTACAGCCGCTCTACTCGGTGCAGGTGCCGGAGAACAGCCCCGTGGGCTCCCTGGTGGCGGCCGTGACAGCTAGAGATTTGGACGCCGGGAGTAATGGAGAAATCGTTTATTCATTTTTCTATGCCACTGAAAGAATTCTCAAAACGTTTCAAATCAATCCAACATCTGGCAGTCTTCATCTTAAAACCGAACTAAACTATGAGGAAATGCAAAATTACACGTTAACTATTCAGGCCCAGGACGGCGGAGGGCTTTCTGGAAAATGTACCGTGGTGGTTCAGGTGACAGATATAAACGACAACGCGCCGGAACTGCTCCTGTCCTCGCTTATGACCTCGGTCGCTGAAAACTCAGCTGAAACCATCGTAGCTGTTTTTAGGATTAGAGACAAAGATTCAGGTAACAATGCAAAGATGGCGTGCTCCATCCAAGATGATCTCCCCTTCCTCCTGAAGCCATCAGTAGAGAATTTCTACACGCTGGTAACACGGAGACCGCTGGACAGAGAGACTACGCCTGAGTACAACATCACCATTACTGTTACTGATATGGGTTCCCCCAGACTGAAAACCCAGCACAACATAACCCTGCTGGTCTCCGACATCAACGACAACGCCCCAGCCTTCACCCAAACCTCCTACAGCCTCTTCATCCCAGAGAACAACAGCCCCGCCCTGCACATGGGCAGCGTCAGCGCCACAGACAGAGACGCGGGCGCCAACGCCCAGGTCACCTACTCGCTGCTGCAGCCCCAGGACCCCAGCCTGCCCCTGGACTCGCTGGTGTCCATCAACGCCGACAACGGCCACCTGTTCGCCCTGAGGGCGCTAGATTTCGAGGCCCTGCAGGCATTTGAGTTCCTGGTGGGCGCCACAGACCGCGGGTCCCCAGCGCTGAGCAGCCAGGCGCTGGTGCGCGTGCAGGTGCTGGACGCCAATGACAACGCGCCCTTCGTGCTGTACCCGCTGCAGAACGGCTCTGCGCCCTGCACCGAGCTGGTGCCCAGGGCGGCCGAGCCTGGCTACCTGGTGAGCAAGGTGGTGGCGGTGGACAGCGACTCGGGCCAGAACGCCTGGCTGTCTTACCAGCTGCTCAAGGCCACAGAGCCCGGGCTGTTCAGCGTGTGGGCGCACAATGGCGAGGTGCGCACTGCGCGGCTGCTGAGCGAGCGCGACGCGGCCAAGCACAGGCTGCTGCTGCTGGTCAAGGACAATGGCGAGCCGCCGCTGTCAGCCAGTGTCACGCTGCATGTGCTGCTGGTGGACGGCTTCTCTCAGCCCTACCTGCCTCTGCCCGAAGTGGCGGCCGAGGCGGCCCAGGCTGACCTGCTCACGGTCTACCTGGTCATCGCTTTGGCGTCGGTGTCGTCTCTCTTCCTGTTCTCGGTGCTGGTGTTCATCGTGGTGCGTCTGTGCAGGAGGGGCAGGGCTGGCTTGGTGGGTGGCTGCTCGGTGCCTGAGGCCCAGTTTCCGGGCCACCTGGTGGACGTCAGTGGCACCGGGACCCTATCCCAGAGCTACCAGTATGAGGTGTGTCTGAAGGGAGGCTCAGGGACCACAAGCGAGTTCAAGTTCCTGAAGCCAATTATTTCTAATGTGCAGTTCCAGAGCACAGGGAGGGAAGTGGAAGAATATCCTGCATTTCAGAGTGATTTGGGTTTCTGATAAAGAATGAAAAATAAATGTATTGTGTCTGTGAATACACACCTAAGAAATGTACCCTGTGTTGCATGTAGATAAGTGCTTTCCCTAATGGGAAAATACTATTCAAGTATTCTTAGAGTCACAGAATAAATTTACACAGAAATGGATACAGCTTTGGCCCTAAGAAACGTCCACAAAACATGGGATGTATGTGTCTATTTTCTCTCTAGCAATTATACACTGTCTATTATGTGATAAATCTTGTTTGAGATGTTGTAAATTAATGTTCATCATCTTCAAACTTTACCGCTTTTTAATTTTCTTCTTTGATTTCACTGCTGCAGTTGTATACTCTCCCTAAGTTTTAGAACTACAGATTATACAGTATGTTTTAAAGTTTTAAAAAACTACTTACTGTACATCATACACTATTTTAACACTTTCAGTCTTAGAAATAAACCTATGAGAAGTATTTTTGAAATAAGCAAACAGAGGTTCAGTAAATTCATTAAGGTCACCTACTAATACAGGGGAGAACTATGTATCTTTTCTAAATCTTTCTGCCATTGGGGTCTTGCTATGACGCAGTACTCCTTTTTCTGTCAGTAGATATCACATTGCAGGTTTCTCCATAATTAAAGAGAAGCAACCTTTTCTTCGCTTATATTTCTGTTTAGTCTTTTTCTCTCTTTTTAGATTTTATTTATTTATTTTTAGAGAGAGGGAAGGAAGAGAGAGAAACATCAATGTGTGGTTGCTTCTCATGTGGTCCCCACTGGCCCCCAATGGGGACCTGGCCTGCACCCCAGGCATGTGCCCTGATTGGGAATCAAACTAGTGACGCTTTGGTTTGCAGCCCACACTCATTCCTCTGAGCTACACTAGCCAGGTGTTGTCTTTTTCTATATTTGGAAATAATAATGTATTTATTGGCCTGACATTTTACACTCTTATAAATTAATAATCAGCTTTTCTGAAGTAATTATTACTGTTAAAGCTCTGATCTAACCAAATCTCAAGTTTAAAAAATGGAAAGATCAACTTGTGTTTTTTCCTTTTCTCAACATATGACCTTCATTTCCCAGAAAATATTAATGACCCTGAATAGAAATATCACATAATTTTGATTTCTTAATTGGTTTATTAATTTCCTCACACTGTAGTAATGTTCCTACAGTAGTCCTTACCTACCTTTTAAAACACATTTTCCTCCTTTAATTAAAAAATTTATTTTCAAAGCTTCTAATTCAATACACTGCAGTGTTGACTGGGAAAGTATAAGAAAAAGAATTGTTTTGAATGTGTAATATTAAGAATAGACAAGTTACACCCTGGCTGGCATAGCTCAGTGGATTGAGCGTGTGCTGGGAACCAAAGTGTCCCAGGTTCGATTCCCAGCCAGGGTACATTCCTGGGTTGCAGGCCATAACCCCCAGCAACCACACATTGATGTTTCTCTCTCTCTCTCTCTCTCTCTCTCTCTCTCTCTCTCTCTCTCTCTCTCTCCCTCTCCTCCCTCCCTTCCCTCTCTAAAAATAAATAAATAAAATCTTTAAAAAAATAGACAAGTTACAATTAAATTATTTTAGATGCTGGAGAGTTAAGGAGAAACTTTGTTATAATCTGTAACTGCATTTTCTTAAACATTCTTCAGATAATTTTTGCAGAGCAACATTGAATATATTATAAATTGCTGCTGGTAAGTTTTAAAATAGTACTATTACTGTGCATTAGTAATGGGATACAATCTAAGAACAAAAAAGACATCAGTGCAGTAAAATTTTACATTGTTCTCATAGTGTCAGGATAAAATTATCCAGTTTTAAAAAAACAAATGAATGACATAGGAAAGGGGAGGAGGGAATTTTCTTCAATGAAGAAAGAGTAATTAATATGTGGTGAATCTTGTTTGGATCTTGATTTAAACAACTGTGAAAGAACTGGAGAAAAATTGAATATAGATGCATACATACTCTGCCGTTGGGATCTCACCATGTGTCTGAAGCCAATAATATTAACCTAGTTTCTTAGAAATGGTATGGCATTGTAGTTGTTGTTTAGGTCATTAAAAGTTAGAGGTGTTTAATGAAATATTTATAGACACAAATTTAGTTTGTCTGGGATATGAGAATGTTAGTGAGATACACAGTTTTGGAAAAAAATATTTATAATTGTTGAAGCTAGTTATGAGTTCCTGTGGGTTCATCATGTGATTCTCCTTCTTTATGGCATTTGAAATTTTCCAAATAAGAGGTTTTTTAAAAATTGACACTGTAAGAAGAGGAGTTAAGAAAAATAGGAATCCTTCTGAATGCAGAATCACTACAGCTATCACAGATTATACCTCTATTAGACAAACTCCCAGCCCTTTCTCGTGTCATCAGTTAACATGATAACTTCTATCTGACCTAATTCTGCTCATGCATGCTTCTACCACGTGAATATTGGGTGTTTTTCTAGCTGTGGCAATGGATTCATGCAAACTCAGCTACCTGGTGGCATCAAATTACGTGCCTGGTTTGTGTGTGTGTGTCTATAAGGTTAATCTGTCTCCACTTCAGTGTCCTAATTTGTATGGGGGGAACTCACAGCAGCCTCATGTCCTAGGTACCATTATAATCTCCATCTTACAGATGAGAAAACTAAGGCAGAGGTTAAATATTTTTTCCAAGTTCCATAGACAGCTACTAATTACTCCCATAGTCCATGGCGATAAAAATATACTCTGAAAGCTTTCTATGTTATTCCAAATATATATTTAAAAATTTTCTGTATATATTTCTTCTCAGCCAGACTGTTGCATAAATATCTTCTTTTTGTTCCAAACTCAGGTAGCATTATTAAAGGTAAAAAGTTCCTACTAATGTCATTTCTCTTGTGTGGTCTTCAGACTATTGTCTGCATCGTAAGGTCCAGCGATAGTAAGGTTAGTGTTATAACCTGTACAATATAGGCTAGGTTAGAAAAAGTGAGTTCGTTTTCATCACGGAAAAATGTAAGATCCTGTAAGGACGCGTGGTGGCGCTGCAGGATAAGAAGGTACAAACCGGATCCGCAACTGCGGCTCCATTAACAGGCAAAACTCACCAGCAGAGCCTGGAAACCTTCGGGAAGCTAGGGTGTCACAGAAGGCCTGGGTCCTCCAAAAAGTACGACTCCCTAGAATATTTCTGAGGTATCTTGTGCAATAATCACAGTCTCGGATACCGAGTTCTTCACAGCTCGGCAGAACCAGCCTTGCTAGAGGCTGCACCAGGCAAGAACAATGGAGGCCAGCAGGAAGCTCATCCACAGACAAAGGCAAGTCCTTTTCTTCTTTCTCATCTTGGGCTTGTCTCTGGCGGGCGCGGAGCCTAGGCGCTATTCTGTGGTGGAGGAAACTGAAGGGAAAGCTTTTGTAACCAATCTATCAAAAGACCTGGGTCTGGGGCAGAAGGAACTCTCCAGGCGGGGGGCTAGGGTCATTTCCAAAGGGAACAAATTGCATTTGCAGCTCGATCAGGCTACTGGGGATTTGTTGCTAAATGAGAAACTGGACCGTGAGGAATTGTGTGGTCACACAGAGCCCTGTGTGCTGCGTTTCCAGGTGTTGCTAGCGAATCCCTTAGAGTTTTTTCAAGCTGAGCTACAAGTAATAGACATAAATGACCATGCTCCGGTGTTCGTGGAAAGCGATATGGTGCTAAAAATATCAGAAAGCAGCCCTCCTGGCTCGGCATTTCCGCTGAAGAACGCTCAGGACCTGGATGTAGGCCGAAACAATATTAAGAACTACACACTCAGTCCAAACTCCTACTTTCGGGTCCTCACCCTTGAACGTAGCGATGGCAGGAAATATCCCCAGCTGGTGCTGGACAAAGCACTGGATCGTGAGGAGGAACCTGAGTTCAAGTTAACCCTCACAGCGCTGGATGATGGCTCACCGCCCCGGTCTGGTACCGCTCAGGTCTACATCGAAGTCCTGGACATCAATGATAATGCCCCTGAATTTGAGCAGCCTTTCTATAGGGTAGAGATCCCTGAGGACAATCCCATAGGCTTCCTGATTGTCAAGGTCTCTGCTACGGATGTAGACATAGGAGTCAACGGAGAGATTTCCTATTCACTCTTCCAGGCTTCAGAAGAGATTAGGAAAACCTTTGAGCTCAACCCTGTGACAGGAGACATTCAACTGAAAAAACAACTTGATTTTGAAGCAATTCAGTCCTATGAGGTGAATATTGAGGCCAAAGATGCTGGAACCTTGACTGGAAAGTGCACTGTTCTAATTCAGGTCATGGATGTCAATGACAATGCCCCAGAACTCACCATGTCCGCACTTACCAGGCAGATTCCCGAGAATTCGCCCGAGACCGTGGTTGCAGTTTTCAGTGTTTCTGATCTTGATTCAGAAGAAAACGGAAAAATAAGTTGCTCCATTCAAGATGATCTACCCTTTTTCCTAAAATCTTCTTTGGAAAACTTCTACACCCTAGTAACAGAGACACCGCTGGACAGAGAGGCCACAGCCGAGTACAACATCACCATCACCGTCACAGACCTGGGGACTCCCAGACTGAAAACCCAGCACAACATAACCGTGCTGGTCTCCGACGTCAACGACAACGCCCCAGCCTTCACCCAAACCTCCTACACCCTCTTCATCCCCGAGAACAACAGCCCCGCCCTGCACATAGGCAGCGTCAGCGCCACAGACAGAGACTCAGGCGCCAACGCCCAGGTCACCTACTCGCTGCTGCAGCCCCAGGACCCCAGCCTGCCCCTGGACTCTCTGGTGTCCATCAACGCCGACAACGGACACCTGTTCGCCCTGAGGGCGCTGGATTTCGAGGCCCTGCAGGCATTTGAGTTCCTGGTGGGCGCCACAGACCGCGGGTCCCCGGCGCAGAGCAGCCAGGCGCTGGTGCGCGTGCAGGTGCTGGACGCCAATGACAACGCGCCCTTCGTGCTGTACCCGCTGCAGAACGGCTCTGCGCCCTGCACCGAGCTGGTGCCCAGGGCGGCTGAGCCTGGCTACCTGGTGAGCAAGGTGGTGGCGGTGGACAGCGACTCGGGCCAGAACGCCTGGCTGTCTTACCAGCTGCTCAAGGCCACAGAGCCCGGGCTGTTCAGCGTGTGGGCGCACAATGGCGAGGTGCGCACTGCGCGGCTGCTGAGCGAGCGCGACGCGGCCAAGCACAGGCTGCTGCTGCTGGTCAAGGACAATGGCGAGCCGCCTCTATCGGCCAGCGTCACGCTGCACGTGCTGCTGGTGGATGGCTTCTCGCAGCCCTACCTGCCGCTGCCCGAAGTGGCGGCAGACGGGGCCCAGACGGACCCACTCACGGTCTACCTGGTCATCTCGTTGGCGTCAGTGTCGTCGCTCTTCCTGTTCTCGGTGCTGGTGTTCATCGCGGTGCGGCTGTGCAGGAGGGGCAGGTCTGGCTTGGTGGGTGGCTGCTCGGTGCCTGAGGCCCACTTTCCGGGCCACCTAGTGGACATCACCGGTACTGGGACCCTGTCTCAGAGCTACCAGTATGAGGTGTGTCTGATGGGAGGCTCAGGGACCAATGAGTTCAAGTTTCTGAAGCCTATGTTGCCCAATTCCCAGGGCCATTACCCTGGACCAGAAATAGAAGAAAACCCCAGTTTTAGGAAAGAGTTTAATTTTAATATTCAGTGACAATAATTGTTTATCTTACTCTAAATATGTAAAATTGGTAAGTTCAAGGTGATAGTTTTTCTGGCAACCTATTATGAATTTTTAAATTACACTAAACTTCCTTTCAAATTTTCTTATATTATTCCTTTGTTTTAAAGAATGGTATCTTATCTTTTCTTCATTTCTATAAAAGATGAATGGTCCTAAATCTTGCCTCTTAAAAGACTGATGAAGTCAGTAGTTGGACAAATCCTTGTTCTGGAATAGCTCTTGAACATGTTATGGGGAAACAGTGAAAAGTTAATCCTACGTGGTTGATTGTGTTTTCCTGAGACTTTTAGTTTATTAGTTTTGGAACTTACAAGGTCTATAAAAGCAGAAACACACTAGCACGTGTAAATCTGTCTGACCGGGAAGGCAGGAGAACCTGCACCGTGAGAAGCTGGTTCTTGCTCTATTCCGATCTCCAGGACGTGTCTTTGATACTGTGTTCTCTCAAAATTTCTCACTAATCGTGCTTCTTGTCATTAGTATATCAGTGTTAGTTTTAATTTAATTATTTTAACTACTTTCCATTTAATTTCATTGATGTTTAAAGGAGGGGGAAATCTACACAGTGTTTATCTAGTGAAGTAAAACAGCATAGCAATGAAATTGGCTTTTTCCATTTGAGAAATAGCAATAACCTGTGACAGAAAAATGCAGTGGCCAGCCAGTATCCATTCATCTCATCTACTTTCTAACAGATCCCGAATTGCACTTAGGGCATTACTGGGCTTATTAAAATATATTTAAAAAAAGCATTTTGCCAACCTCCTTGGCAGCTAAATGGAGCATTTGACCAGGTTTTAGTCAATGAGATATACATACAGATGTTGTAGAAAACTTCCAACAAAGGTTTTTAAAGGTAGATGACTCACTAGGAAGGGGTCCATTTTTATCCTTTTCTAACTAGTCGTTGTTGTTTAGAATGTGTGAATCATGGGTGGAACACAATGAGACCAGTTGGGCCACAGGGCAGCGATGAGAATGGAAGTAGTGCATAAAGACAGTCAATACAGAATAAACTTCAAGGATATGAGGGTCCCTGGTGATCACAGTGTCATCTCTGGGTTGCCTGCTTCTGAACTCTTTTACTTGAGAAATAAAGGAATTTCTATCTCATTTAAGCTACCATCATTTTGAAGCACCAATCCTAATGCTTTAACATTAAGATTTTTCATTAAAATAGTATGTAATAAGTAAAAAGCACAGATCTTAACTGTATAGTGTGAGCTAACAGATCTGTTTTAAGCTTTTATTTCTTGGTTTCTAGTGTAGTTAAAAGTAGTATACAGAGTGCTTTACATTAATTGCCTTTTTAATCCTCTGCCAAACCTTAAGAGGGTTGGCATATTGTTCCCTTTTTTACATATAAGAAACTGAAGCTGAGAAAGGTTAAGTAACTTGCTCACAATTCTGAGTGACAGAAGGAAAAATTGGAAATATATGGTAAGCACACTTGAATTGTGTGTCCCAGTCCTTAATCTGTGTGCTATGATGGTGGATGTTAACTGGTGGCATTGTCTTCCTAACCGAGGAAATGAAATCCATCTGTCCCATGAACTGAACTCCTATGTAAAAATGTAAAATTTGGTCTGTAGTTTGTACTTGCTTCTAAACCAATGGCCACACTGCTCTGGACCAATAAACTCAAAGTTCTTATAGAAGCACTGACTATCTCAACTAGCTAGCTAGGTCAGGGCCCACAATTGATCTTCATCACAAATGAATTGGCCCAAATATCTGCCTGCACATTCGCAACATATCACATTTAGTACTGCAGAAATGAATGTCCTGAACAGGGCGTAGAAATTCCTATGGTGGTATCTTTTGAATTTCTTGTATTATCCCATGAGTGTTTTTCTGTCATCCTTAAAATGTATTTTTCACTTTATTTGGAAAGTTGAAACTTGCTTTATTGTAGACATCTTTGTAAGTCTTTATTGAAACTAAAATATACTGTATTAATTTTAACATACCATTTGATTTAAAGTAGCTATATTCTGGTGTTAATCCTAAATGAAATAATTTCAGGAAAGTATAGGCAATGGTGTGGAGAAATTTTTACCACTAACTAATTTAGATATTCTGTAAATTTAATAGGAAAAAATGGCAGGTTCCAGGTATTTTCTGTTTAAATTAAGCACTTGTCTTTGGCAACTCTTCTTAAAAAGTATGCTGAAAAAAGATGTCAGGGGTCATGAACAACTTTATTCTGAAAGAATGGTTCACTAGAACTGAATGAGACCTTCTTCAGCATTTGTTGTGACTACACTATTCTTGTGGATTGATGAATTTTTGTTGACTCAGCTGCTGGGTGCATGAGAATCTGTGCTTGTGTTATGTACTAGCATTCTATTGCTGCTATAAAAGATTAGCACAAATACAGTTGCTTAAGACAATCAAATGTATTACTTTACAGTTCTATAGATCAGATCTCACATATGGGTGTTACTGGGCTAAAATCAAGGTGTCAGCAGGAATGCATTCCTTTCTGGTGGCTCCAGAGGAGAATCCGTTTCTTTGTCTCTCCTAGTTTCCAAATGCTGCCTACATTATTGACTCATGGCCCCACTATTCCATCTTCAAAGTCAGCAGCATCCTATCTCTGGTACTGTTCTTTGTAGTCATGTTTCCCTTTGACAAGTTCTATCCCACCTTGATAATCCATGATGACCTTCCCTTTACAAGGATTTCAACTTACTTATATCTGGGAAGTCTCTTTTGCTATGTATTATAACATATTTACAGATTTTGGGAATTAGGGTGTGGATGTCTTTGGATGGGTGGCCAATATTCTGCTTACCACAGATTGGCTGCTTGGAAGAAAATTACCTAGTCTAGTAGTACCACTTGTGGCCAAAGGAAGGCACATAATGGTCTTTGTGCCAGGAGTTTTGGCCTCATTGATTAGCTGTTTAACTCCAGATGAGGTAATTAACAAACTTTTACTAATCATTAACAAAACACTTAATGAATAAAGATATCATAAGTCTCCACTGAAATTGAATTAAAATATTTGACATGGAAAAACTGAACAAAAGAACACAGATCTGATAAGGGACTTGTATCTGGAACATATAAAGAATTCCTAAAACTCGATTATAAAAAGACAAATAACCAAGTTTAAAAATGGGTGAAGATCTGAAAAGACATTCCTCCAAGGAAGATATACGAATGGCCAATAAGCACAGGAAAAGATGTTTAACAACATTACTCATTAGAGAAATGCAAATCAAAATTGTCCACAAGGATGGCTGGGACCAAAATGTTGGACAATAGCTCATGTTGGGAAGATGAGTAAAAACTAAAATACTGATTCACTGCTGGTGGGAATGCAAAATAATGCAGCTGGTTTGGAAAACAATCTGGCAGTTCCTCAAATAAACATAGAAACATTGTGTCCTGGCTTTTGTGGCTTGGTGGATTGAGCATTGGTCTGTGAACCACAAGATGAAAGATTGCTGGTTCAATTCCCAGTCAAGGCACAAGCCTGGGTTAAGGGCCAGGTCCCTGGTTGGGGGCATGCGTGAAGCAACTGATTGATGTATCTTTCACACATTGATGTTTCTTTCCCTCTCTTTCTTCCTCCATTCCCCTCTCCCTCCCCCCTCTCTAAAAATACATAAAATGTTTAAAAACATTAAACATAGAGCCCTGGCTGGTGTGGCTCATTGGGTTGATTGCTGGCCTGTGAACCAAGGGGTCGCCAGTTTGATTCTCTGTCGGGGCACATGCCTGGGTTGTGGGCATGGTCTCCAGTTGGGGGCATGTGAGAGGCTGCCACACATTGATGTTTCTCTCCCTCTCTTTCTCTTTTCCCCTCTCTCTAAAAATAAATAAATAAAATCTTTTAAAAATGAATAAAAAATTAAACATAATAGACATTATAAGAGCTAACAATTCTACTCCCAGAGAAAGGAAAATATGTCCGCACAAACATTTGTGTGTGAATAGCAGCATTTTTTACAATTTTCACAATTTTCAAAAGGTGGGAAAACTCAAATGTCTACCAACGGAAGAATGGATAATCACAACGTGATATATCTATACAGTGGAACATTATCTCACCACAAAATGAATGAAGTACTGACACATGCCACACTTGGACAAACCTTGAAAACATGCTAAGTCAAAGAAGCCGGTCATGAAACTCCATGTATTGTTTTAGTTCATTCATATGGAAGTCCAGAAGAGGGAGTCAGAAAGTAAATTAGTGGTTGATGAGGGCCTGGAGCGTGAGGGATGGGAGAATAAGGGGGTGATATAGCTGAAGAGGGTGGGTTTCTGAGTATTGAAAATGTTCTAAAGTTGACTGTGGTGATGGATCCCTTATTCTGTGACTATAAAGCCACTGAATTATACACTACAAATGTACAGTATGTGAATTATATCTCATTAATTATTTTTAAAAGAATAAAACAAATTGTTTGTATCACAATAATGTTTTTTTTTAAAAAAAAGGGATCCAAAAGCTTAGCAAGGCATAACCTTGAGATCTTCCTATTCAGAAAATAATTTTCCATTAACTTGAAAACTGCAAAACCTCACAGTTTTCAGGTTTGGGTGTTGGAAAGAGGAAGATGTAATCTACATTTTAACAAGGTGTTGGTTCAACACTCTCTTTAGAGCCATCACTGATTGCAGTTGTGCAGCGTCCACTCACTTGTAATTCTATAATATGTACCAAGAAAAATATGTACTTGTGAAACTGTTCCAATGTCATTTTGGAAAAAAAATTGTTCCAAAGTGTAATGTCATTTTTAGCTTAATGTTAATTAAATTATTTAATCATTATACTTCAACAACTTTGAACAGTGGTGTGACAATTTGCTCTTTGTACTTCTTCTGTGTAACAACACAGAGTTTTATCTGAACACACAAAAACCACATGAAACTAGAACTCAGTGTTTAACATTACGGAACACAATTTACTCAATTTATTCTATGTATTAGGAGAATCTTGCATCCAATGTTAAACCAGAAAATGTAAGACTTAGTGAGAACGCATGGTGGCGCTGCAGGTTAAATGATGGAAAATAGAATTGCCTACGTAACTCCGGTATACACACAGTTTCACACTGCCTGGAAGCTAAAGAGCAGCTTCCTCAGCCAGAGCAAAAGTGAGTGTGAAACCTCTTTAAAAGCTGTATTTTCGGCGTAGTTTTGCCGTTCCGGGCGGCAGGACCGGGCTGCTAGTATCTTGGGCATACATATATGAAGCTCCTGTAACCAAATTTTCAGGAAAGAGCAATGGAGATTGGATGGATGCGCAATCGGAGACAAAGGCAAGTCCTTATTTCCTTTGTTTTGCTGAGCATGTGTGGGGTGGGCGCCGACTTAGGGCCCTATTCAGTAGTGGAAGAAACGGAGCGGGGATCCTTTGTGGCAAATCTGGGAAAAGACTTGGGACTGGGGCTGACGGAGATGTCCCGCCGTGGCGCCCGGATCATTTCTCAGGGGCGCGGAGAGCACTTGCAACTCAAGCTGCAGACGGGGGATTTGCTCACAAGTGAGAAACTAGACCGAGAGGAGCTATGCGGTTCCGCGGAGACTTGTGTGCTGCATTTCCAAGTGCTGATGGAAAACCCCTTGGAGATATTTCAGGCTGAACTGAGGGTAAAAGACATCAATGACCATTCCCCCGTGTTCTCTGAAAGAGAAATGATTCTAAAAATACCGGAAAACAGTCCCCCAGGAATGGCTTTCCCCCTGAATAATGCTCTGGACTTGGATGTAGGAAGCAACAATGTTCAGAACTACAAAATCAGCCCCAACCCCCATTTTCAAGTTCTAACCCACAATCTGAGTGATGGTAGAAAATACCCGGAGCTGGTGTTGGACAAAGAGCTGGACAGGGAGGAGGAGCCTGAAATCGCATTAACACTCACAGCGCTGGATGGCGGCTCTCCGCCTCGGTCTGGGACCGCCCAGGTGCGCGTTGAAGTGGTGGACATCAACGACAACGCCCCTGAGTTTGGGCAGCCGCTCTACAAGGTGCACATTCCTGAGAGCAGCACCGTGGGCTCCCTGGTTGCCACCGTCTCTGCCAGCGATTTAGACAGCGGAGTCAACAGCAAACTAGTGTACTCGCTCTTTCGGCCTTCAGAAGATACTAGCAAAACTTTGGAGGTAAATCCTACAACAGGAGAAATTCGACTGAGAAAACCAGTAGATTTTGAAACAGTTCAGTCTTATGAAGTGGACATCAAGGCCACTGATGGGGGAGGTCTTTCAGGAAAATGCACTCTTTACCTGCAGGTGGTGGACGTGAATGATAATGCCCCAGAAGTGACCATGTCTGCACTGACCAGCCCCATCCCAGAGAACTCTCCTGAGATTGTAGTTGCTGTTTTCAGTGTTTCAGATCCTGACTCTGGGGACAATGGGAAGACTGTTTGTTCCATCCAGGATGGCCTTCCTTTTCTTCTAAAACCTTCAGCCAAGAACTTTTACACCTTGGTAACCAAGAGAGCACTAGACAGAGAAGAAAGAGCCCAGTACAACATCACCATTACTGTTACTGATATGGGTTCCCCCCGACTGAGAACGGAGCACAACATAACGGTGCTGGTGTCTGACGTCAACGACAACGCCCCTGACTTCACCCAAACCTCCTACGCCCTCTTCATCCCCGAGAACAACAGCCCCGCCCTGCACATAGGCAGCGTCAGCGCCACAGACAGAGACGCGGGCGCCAACGCCCAGGTCACCTACTCGCTACTGCAGCCCCAGGACCTCAGCCTGCCCCTGGACTCACTGGTGTCCATCAACGCCGACAATGGCCACCTCTTCGCCCTGAGGGCGCTGGATTTCGAGGCCCTGGAGGCTTTCGAGTTCCTGGTGGGTGCCACGGACCACGGGTCCCCAGCGCTGAGCAGCCAGGCGCTGGTGCGCGTGCAGGTGCTGGACGCCAATGACAACGCGCCCTTCGTGCTGTACCCGCTGCAGAACGGCTCTGCGCCCTGCACCGAGCTGGTGCCCAGGGCGGCCGAACCTGGCTACCTGGTGAGCAAGGTGGTGGCGGTGGACAGGGACTCGGGCCAGAACGCCTGGCTGTCTTACCAGCTGCTCAAGGCCACAGAGCCCGGGCTGTTCAGCGTGTGGGCGCACAATGGCGAGGTGCGCACTGCGCGGCTGCTGAGCGAGCGCGACGCGGCCAAGCACAGGCTGCTGCTGCTGGTCAAGGACAATGGCGAGCCTCCTCTGTCAGCCAGTGTCACGCTGCACGTGCTGCTGGTGGACGGCTTCTCTCAGCCCTACCTGCCTCTGCCCGAGGTGGCGGCCGCCGCAGCCCAGACAGACCCGCTCACGGTCTACCTGGTCATCGCGCTGGCGTCGGTGTCGTCGCTCTTCCTGTTCTCGGTGCTGGCGTTCATCGCGGTGCGGCTGTGCAGGAGGAGCAGGGCCTCCTGGGTGGGTGGCTGCTCGGTGCCTGAGGGCCACTTTCGGGGCCACCTGGTGGACGTCAGTGGTACTGGGACCCTGTCCCAGAGCTACCAGTATGAGGTGTGTCTGAAGGGAGGTATGGGAACAGAGGAGTTTAAATTTCTGCAGCCGATTATTCCCAGTCTTCCAGCCCATGACACTGGTAGGAACGTAGAGGAAAACGAGAACTTTAGGAATAGTTTTGGATTCAACATCCAATGAAGAATTATTTTAAATATTTAATCTTTTATTATTCTTAGCATACTGGGGATACTAAGGTTTTTTGGCTAGAGATTCAGGGGCCAGCGAGATAAAGTTTCTAGAACACGTTATCCCCAATCTCACACCCCAGAGCATGGGGAGTGAAGTGGGATAAAATCCCTTCTTTGGGAATAGTGTTGGGATTTCATTATTGATAAATACCTATTTAATAAAGACATTAACTTCTAATGTATTTTGTCAACTAACTAAATTGTTTATGCCTACCACCAATAAGGTGCTGTTTTATTTTTTCTATTTGGTTTATCCTCAGTTTCCAATTTTATGTTTAACTTCAGAAGTTTTCTTTTCCTCTCACTTTAGTCCATTGAAGTTTTTCCTCAATGAATTAAATAGGTTTTACCTCCAAAATTGATACAATTAAATTTTTCCACCCTATAAATGTTCTTATTGACTTTCTACATTTCATTTCTGTTCTTTTTTCCTACAACTACAATTATTAAAATAATCTGCTGCTTTTGATATGTATATTTATAATCTGATACTTCAATTTCCTCTTACAATATTTTTGTTGCTTTGTCAACCTCAGTTTTTATTATAGCAATTTTCTGAAATTGTTATGTTTTAAAAAAATCTTCTTCTCCCTGTATTGTTATCTCCCTATTTAATACATAATAATTCTGTTGTGATGTGATAAATAATTATCTAATCAGCTTTTATCTGAAAATAAGAAGAAACAGCAATATAAGACATCAAATGTGTATATATGTGTTTAAGTTTGCAGACCACAAAAGCAAAGTTTAGGCATTATACAGTATCATATAGAAATATTTAATAAACTTCCCCTTTTCTGTATGCAAAAATCAGAGATCCTTATTAAGTTTTTAATTTGTTAACAATGCAGTCCCAGTCAGGTGAAAGAAAAAAACAGCAGACATCATCAAGCAGAGGTTTATATAGTGCAACTTTTATATTTAACAATTAGAGTGTTTTTTTTGTCAGTATCAAGTTCTTTCCTTGTATAACATACCCCAATTTACTCTGTTTCTCTTACTATGGAAAAATTGAGCTTATTCCTAGATATTAGACTTTTGAATTAAATCCTACATGAGGCCACTGTTATAATGCTGTTCTTATTTTCAGTGGTGTTAGGATAGGTATTAATGTGGTCTCCTCTGTTTTAAAAGATTTTATTTATTTCTAGAGAGAAGGGAAAAGAGGGAAAAAGAGAGGTAGAGAAACATCAATGTGTGGTTGCCTCTCATGTGCCCCCAGTTGGGGGCCTGGCCCTTAACCCAAGCATGTGCCCTGGCTGGGAATTGAACTTGTAACCCTTTGGTTCACAGGCCAGCATTCAATCCACTGAGCCACAGCAGCCAGTTCTAGTGTGGGCTAGTTTTTACCTCCATTTCTTTAGTGAGGAGAAATTAGATCCCATTAGATTTTAATTAAGAGGGACTTTAAAATAAGAGTCAGCTCCTTCTGTAGTTCTGTAAGTAATTTTAAAGCTAGTGTAAGGAAAACAAAGACGTATTAAAGAAAGGGGACAAGTTGTAAATAATAAGTAAGTGAAAGAATACACATTTTGAACAGTAAGAAATTAAAGGCCCTGAAAATTGCTTTTATCCTACTCGAGAGTTGCTTCATGCATGTCTGAATGAAGTTAGCATTTGGTGAGTGTCCAATTTGCCAACCAAAGACGACAAGGACACAGTGTCCCTACTTAAGAAGGGACAGATCGGCATGGCACAAGAAGCAGTAATATTTACAGGGAAGGTATACAAGCTTTTAAGAATGCCCAGAGGAGGTACAACTTGAATGCTCCCTCCTGGATTATAGAGTGGTGACTCAACTTAGGCAATGTAAGTAGGTTTTGAAGAAATTTGTTGAAGAAGGTGTGAAACAAGTTTTTGTAAGTTTTTGGTGATCCTATCCACGATGTTTTAGAAGAGGACAAGCTATTATCTGGTGGTCTCAGAAGTCATCACCATTTTCCCTTTGGTTCCTGACATTGCATGGGGTTCGTTTCAGGGGGAAAGGCCTGATTCAGAGCTAAATATAGCATAATGAGGCACACAGAGTTCAATGCTAGGAACATTCTTTTTGCAACTGTTGAATATTTTACTTCCCCCATGAAGCGGTGAAAAACATCTTAACAACATGAACAGTTCTCTATATCAACGTTTTATTTGACAAAACAAAGGAAAAATGAAATATGTGGATGAGCCACTAAAGAAGAAATTTATAAATACATACACATACAAATTGGGTGCAGCCATGTGAGTCTGTGGGAGGCCAGGCGGTGGCGCTGCAGGCTAAAGAGACAGAAGAAAGAATTTAACTGCGAGTGCTGCAGAAGTCTCTAACAGAAAAAGGAAGAACGAGGTTGGACGACGGAGAGAAAAGTCATAGCTGCTCAAGACCGCAGTAAAACCCCAGACCCCTGCTTCTACAGGGGCTAAGTCTGGGGTTGCAACTACTCCCTTCTTGTGCTGGGAGCTGCGACTGGGACTAATACTGACGAAAGACGTGTTCAGAAGAAGCTATGGAGGCTGGAGGATTGCGCTGCCCAAGACAAAGGCAAGTCCTGTTTATCTTTCTGTTTTGGGGAGTATCCTTGGCAGGATCTGGGTCTGGACGATATTCGGTGACAGAGGAAACAGAGAGAGGATCCTTTGTGGCTAATCTGGCAACAGACCTGGGACTAGGGGACCGGGAGCTGGTTGCAAGGGGAGCCCGGGTGGTCTTTGATGATAACAAACAACATCTGCTCCTGGATTTGCATACTGGGGATTTGCTCACAAACGAGAAACTGGACCGGGAGAAGCTGTGCGGCTCCACAGAGCCCTGCATGCTGAATTTCCAAATTTTAATGGATAACCCTTTTCAGATTTACCAGGCTGAGCTGAGGGTCAGGGACATAAATGATCATTCTCCAGTGTTTCAGGACAAAGAAACAGTCTTAAAAATCATAGAAAATACAGCTGAAGGAACAACATTTCGGCTAGAAAGAGCACAGGATTCAGATGGAGGACTTAATGGTATTCAAAACTATACCATCAATGCCAACTCTTTTTTCCATATTAACATTAATGACAGTGATGCAGGCATGATATATCCAGAGCTAGTTTTGGACAAGGCACTGGACAGGGAAAAGCAGCAAGAGCTCAGTTTAACACTCACGGCACTTGATGGCGGGTCCCCACCCAGGTCTGGGACCTCCACTATACGCATTGTGATCCTGGATGTCAATGACAATGCCCCACAGTTTTCTCAGGCAATCTACCAGACCCAGGTTCTAGAGAACAGCCCGGTAGGTTCCATAATTGCTAAAGTTTCTGCAGGAGACATAGACCATGGAGTCTATGCAGACATATCTTACTCATTTTTTGATGCTTCTGAAGATATTCGAACAACCTTCCAAATCAATCCTCTTTCCGGAGAAATCATTCTCAGAGTGTTGCTTGATTATGAGCTAGTAAAGTCTTACAAAATCAATATCCAGGCCATCGATGGTGGGGGCCTTTTTGCAAGATGTATGGTTTTGGTTGAGGTTCTAGACACTAATGACAATGCCCCTGAACTGATCCTGTCATCACTTTCAAACCACGTTCCTGAGAACTCTCCTGAGACAATATTGGCTGTTTTTAGGATTAAAGACAGAGATTCTGGAGAAAATGGAAAAATGATTTGTTACATTCAAGATAATCTGCCATTCCTTCTGAGACCCTCTGTGGAGAATTTTTACATTCTAATGACAGAAGCAGCACTGGACAGAGAAAGTCAAGCCGAGTACAATGTCACCATCACCGTCACAGACATGGGGACTCCCAGACTGAAAACCCAGCACAACATAACTGTGCTGGTCTCCGACGTCAATGACAACGCCCCTAACTTCACCCAAACCTCCTACACCCTCTTCATCCCCGAGAACAACAGCCCCGCCCTGCACATAGGCAGCGTCAGAGCCACAGACAGAGACGCGGGCGCCAACGCCCAGGTCATCTACTCGCTGCTGCCACCCCAGGACCCCAGCCTGCCCCTGGACTCGCTGGTGTCCATCAACGCCGACAACGGACACCTCTTCGCCCTGAGGGCGCTGGATTTCGAGGCCCTGCAGGCTTTTGAGTTCCTGGTGGGCGCCACAGACCGCGGGTCCCCGGCCCTGAGCAGCCAGGCGCTGGTGCGCGTGCAGGTGCTGGACGCCAATGACAACGCGCCCTTCGTGCTGTACCCGCTGCAGAACGGCTCTGCGCCCTGCACCGAGCTGGTGCCCAGGGCGGCCGAGCCTGGCTACCTGGTGAGCAAGGTGGTGGCGGTGGACAGGGACTCGGGCCAGAACGCCTGGCTGTCTTACCAGCTGCTCAAGGCCACAGAGCCCGGGCTGTTCAGCGTGTGGGCGCACAATGGCGAGGTGCGCACTGCGCGGCTGCTGAGCGAGCGCGACGCGGCCAAGCACAGGCTGCTGCTGCTGGTCAAGGACAATGGCGAGCCCCCACTGTCAGTCAGCGTCACGCTGCACGTGCTGATGGTGGATGGCTTCTCGCAGCCCTACCTGCCGCTGCCTGAAGTGGCGGCCGCCGCAGCCCAGACTGACCCGCTCACAGTCTACCTGGTCATCGCGTTGGCGTCGGTGTCGTCGCTCTTCCTGTTCTCGGTGCTGGCGTTCATTGGGGTGCGGCTGTGCAGGAGGAGCAGGTCTGGCTTGGTGGGTGGCTGCTCGGTGCCTGAGGCCCAGTTTCCCGGCCACCTGGTGGACGTCACCGGTACTGGGACCCTGTCCCAGAGCTACCAGTATGAGGTGTGTCTGACAGGAGGCTCAGGGACCAGTGAGTTCAAGTTTTTGAAGCCGATTCTCCCTAATATTCAGGAGCATGGCTTTGAGAGGAATAGTGAAGATACCCCTGCCTTTCAAAAGAGCTTTGGATTTAATTTTCAGTAAAAATTCCTTTTCTATTTACATGTACTTTTGAAGTGTTTTACAACCATATAAATATTAGTGTACTTTTAAAACTCCAAATTAAATTATTATGCCTAATTTTAAAGTACTATATATATATGTTTTTGCACTGTTATTTCATAATTTTTGCATTAATCAACATTTAGATCGAATAGTACCCATTTGTAAATAATCATTTTAAGGTTTAGTTCTTTCAAAATGTACAATGATTTAGTTATTATTTTTTTCATTCTAGA